CTCGTCATAACACAGCCCTTCGTGTTTGTCACCCATCTATTTCCGAAGAGGGGTTGACGATAGACTTCCTCCCAGCGGTTGGGGTGGGTCCTGTTGGGGAGCGGGAGTTTACGCCAGCTTTGCAACAGAGATGGCCAAAAGCTATCCAGTGTCTGGCCCCCTCCTTCTGATCCTTCCCTTCTATGTGGGAGCTTACGTGGAATTGCCCAAAAGCGGTCCTTTAGCCAGGTTAGCGGATGGGTCGTTTGGGGGGATGCCGAGGCCAATCGAGCCAAATATTCCAAAGCTAAGACACAGCATGGACTTTGGGGAGCAAAGATAAACTTTTTTATCCACTTCACCTGAAGTGCCTGCACTTGTGCGGTCGGGTCAAGTATTCCCAAGCCTCCCCTAATCTTTGGCTGGATGATTGAGTCCCAAGCTACTCGGCTTATTACATTGGTCTATTCTTCATCCCCTCCATAGGAAGGTCGCTGCCTTTTTCTTTAGACTCCTCAGAGCCGTTTTGCTCAATGACCACAGTAAAAACTTGTACCATATTGTTGCAAAAATTACATTGTTGAGTGCTAAGACTCGGTCGAACAAGTATGCGTGGTTGTTTTTCCAATTATCAAGTTTGTAGTGAGCCGGGGCACTGATCCACTCGTCGTTGATTGGTGGTTGTCCTTCTGTAGTCATGGATACCCCTAGGATTTATATCAGGGTTTCTAGTGGCATCCATGCTATGCGTGGTGATTCTGGAGGGCGTCCTCCTTGGTAGTGGATCCACCATCCTTGTGTCTTGGACCCCAGTTAACTGTCATGTCGGATACCTTGGCGAAGTTTTCCATCATCCGTTGAATTTCTTCCATGTTACGGTGTGTAGCCGCTGCCATTACTATGAGATCATCCGCAAACAATGAACACACCGGAATTGCTTCCTCTGGGATGCGTGTGATTCTAATTTTGGTAATATTTTTGTTGGCGCGAAGGTTGGCGGCTAGTGCTTCCATAATGACCAGGAAAAGGAAGGGGGCAGTAGGATCCCCTTGGCGGACCGATCATTTTAAGTGCAGAGGTGGCGCGAGATTTTCATTGACCTGGACTCATGTAGTTGCGTTTTGGTGTAAGATTTGTATCCAACGTCTGAAATCCGGTCAAAAATTCATTTTTTCCAGACACTTGTCCAGAAACAACCAGTCCACGTGGGCATAGGCCTTTTCAAAATCAATGAAGATCAGGGCCGCATTTTGCCGGGAATGTCTCGTAAGCTGGAGGATCTCATGGATCAACAGGATATTTTCTGTATGAAAGTCTCTCATTACAGAGCTCTCAAAGGATAACCCCACAAGCACCTGCACGCAACAGGAGCTGGCATGAAAGTAGGCCACAATGGTGAGATATCGAATCCTTTTCTTCCCATCCTTGTGCGGGGGCCATGCTAGTCTTGTATGTATCGTTCCAATTTAGCGGATGTCCCAGTGGACATATTGCATCTTTTTTTTCCCTTTTGAATCCTGACGATGCATCGACCGCGGGCAGATGGCCGATGGCAAGCTGTGCCCCATCGCGTTGCCTAAGTTTGGGTCCACACTGTTGGATCTGCAACATCTACCGCCACTATCGATTTTCAAGTCCTTCTCTAACTGAATGTTCACTACACACCGGCTAGTATGGGGCTTGCTTTCACTGCAAATCAGATGTGAAGTTCACGATGGGCGTTGATTTGCAATTTTTTCTTGGAAGGCCCATCATTGATGGCAACCACTACTTGGCGACAAAAGTCTGACTCCCCCCCCCCCAAAAAAAACGAAGAAAAACAAAACTGACGTTTTCATGGGATCGGGTACTCACCAATCATGCAAAATGAGAATGAATCTACCGCTAGAGCATGGAAAGATGCAGTGTCATAATTTGTCTTTTTCACAATGTGCAAAATGAGAATGAATCTTTCGCTAGAGCATCGAAACATACACCGCCAAATTTTGGCGTTTTTGCATGAGGTGAGTAGTGGAGTGAAACCCACATACTCTTTACCACGACGCACCCCCCCTCTCTCTCTCTCTCTCTCTCTCTCTCTCTCTCTCTCTCTCTCTCTCTCTCTNCTCTCTCTCTCTCTCTCTCTCTCTCTCTCTCTCTCTCTCTCTCTCTCTCTCTCTCTCTCTCTCTCTCTCTCTCTCTCTCTCTTGTGTGCGTGCACACAAGCGTGAGCTCCATGGTAAGGAGTACATGGGCTCGCTCCACTACTCACCCCATGCACAAAAGACAAATTATTGCGGTGTATCTTTTCGGGTTTCGAGAGTGCTCTCGAACGGTTGTCCTGCCCCGCCTGCAAAGTGGCCAACTTCTAAAGGGGTCGGAGGCACCTCCCATTTCAGCCCGAAACTGGAGAGTGCACCGCAACGGACAACAGTCTGTGGCCACCATTTTGTCGTGTGTGGTTTGAGAGAACCCTCGAACCATGAAGGTCCTTCCAGACCCTGGGCGGGCCGAATCTGCCCCGCAGAAGGGGACACTTGCGGTGCACGAAAAGTACCAATACACAAGTCTCGGGAGAGGCCTCACCGCCACACTGCGCTCTCCAAAAAGGCCGAGTCTTTTCTGACACATTGGAGACCTCTCCCTTCGAGAGTGCAGTGCGGTGATGAGTCCTGTCGAACGGTTTTTCTTGACTTCCTGAGTTAGAGAGTAATCCTGAACATTTTTCCATTTTCGGGATAGGTTTGGCGAGCCGCATTGTGTTTTTCCTATCTGAGGTAGCACAACACGGTCGATGATGTAAGACACAGGTTTCAGGGCCGTGAGACTAGGATGTGGAGGTTGCGATGCCATACTACACTGCTGACTGCAGCCATGAGATGCATTGCACTACACTCTGAGGGGAAACGAAGTTGAAGATTGCACTGCTGCTATTTCGCACCAATGCATGAGAGCTTCCACAAGACTGTGTTGTTGGGTTTGGGTGCCGCCATCTTCCACTTGGCAGCCATATCTGTTGTTCCTCCTCTTGAGGAACTTTGTCTTCTTCGAACTGCTGGATCTGTTGTCTCCTTCTTCATCAGGACTTCCGGCGCTGCACTTCCGTGAGGGTGCTGACTCTGCAGAGTTGGCACTGTTATCATTGGCACTGTTATCATTGTGACAACTGTGGGGCTTCCGCTGCTATCGCAGCCATAGCCAGGGGTATGAGGTGGCGAGGAGGAAGAAGAAGACTCCTGCGTACTTCATTGAAAACTTGTTTCTGGTTGTTCGGGTTGTTGTAAACACGGTTGTGAATCTTGGAACTAGTACTCTGGATTGACTGGATGAGGATGGGGGATTACAAAATTGAAATTCGGTTTTCAATTCTGTGTATTTTGTGCTTCCGCTGTGCATATCTTCTCTCTGGTTTTGTGTGGATTTCTCTCCTTCGAGTTTACTCTGCAATTGCATGCGTATGTGGGAACGTGTGCATTCGTTGTGGATTGAAGTTCAATCGGGTACATAACAAAACCAACGTTCTCATCCAGTGAATTGCTTTTAGCATTTCAAAAGGTTCTCCCTGGGGCTAGGTCCCACTACAGACGTTTTAAACGTTCTGTGAATTGCTTTTAGCATTTCAAAAATGGTTTCTGCATTTATTTTTGATAAAAAAAACTCTCCTTCTAGAATTTAAAGACAGGCGAATTCAGCTTATGGTGCTACGGTCAGCCAATCGGATGGGAGCAATCAAATACGCTTCCTCATTTTCCGGATGGACTCAGCCAATGGGCTGGGTCCTCTGAAGGTGGTCTCTGTCAAACCATTATGACAGTATACACACGACTTCGTTTCGTTTTCGTCGGCCTTTTTTGTGCACACAAAGCACTGTAGCAAAGTTGCAATATCACCTGCACCTTTGCACGTCTATAATATTGCACCCTCATGGACGCCTAAATACTTCAAAAAATAATAATTTCAAACCGTTTCAAGATATGCCATTGGACAACACACAAAGATTTGAGACTTTACACTTTGAAATCACCACCGCCGTTCAGATTACCCAACTTCGACGGACTGTCTGTGTCACCGCCAGCCACACATGGGGGCTCGTTAGACACTCCTCGGGCGCGTAAATCCCCTAAGGAAAATTTTGTTCCACCTGTCCTCGAGCATGAAAACGAAAAAAAAAAGAGTGAAAATATTTCCTCGGGGAATCCTCGGGGCGTTCTCGGGCTACAGCCATTCAGCCATTCAGTGGCATTCCCCAACAGACCTCTCGAGGTCCCTTGGGGGTCAAGGATCCGCGATGATTGGAGCGGCGAGGGCACCCGTCGTCAGCAAGAAGTTTTCGTCCGCTGGTCCATTGGAGTTCCTACTGGGCAGCGCACAGACATCTTGGGTCTTCAACGTTCGGCTTCGAGGAACCTTACGCCAATGGTAACTGTTGGTGGCCGGTCGGCCCCCACGGACGTCGTCGACCAGTGGTCTCCCTCGCATTGCGTGCCGCCAAACAGAAAGGGATTGAACGGTCGGCAAATTTGAATACTTCAGCCAACCTCCTTTGCTCCGATCGCCCACTGTATTCCGCGACGAAAAACGTTACATCCCATGTTGCGGTCTGCCGTTTGCAGCCCTCTTCTTCGTCGTTTGTTGAAGGTGTATCGTCGTCGTCTAGCTACTGCCCTTTCCCCACATGCCTGTCACCGGCGACGTCTTTCGAAGGCTGCCACTGCTGCTCCTGGTCATCCTTTTGCTTGTCCTTGTCGTCTTCTTCCACGTCTGCATCCTCGACAGGGTGCCTGGATGTACACGTAAGAGGCGGTCTGCGAAGAAGGACGTCCTCCTGGACGGGCGACAGTCGAAGAGCAAGTCTTCAGTGGACAACTCCAGAAGCCACCGCGCAAGCCACGGCCCGGCTCGCAGTGCAAGGGTGTACGACCCATTAGAGTGTGTGTCATATGCTGTCCTCTACCGTTTGCTCCCTTCATGGTCGCCGTTCGGTGGACCTTCACCGTCGTCGTAGAAGTACGGCCTTGTCATACGTGTTGTTGATGGCCGACCTCTATTGAAGGTTGCCACTGCTGCCCCTGGTCACAATTTTGCTTGTCGTGGTCCTCGTGTTCCACGTGTGCATCCTCTATCGTTGATGGCCGACCTCTATCGAAGGCCTCCAGCAGAGAAGACGAGGGATCGACACCGACTGCAGTCCACATCAACATTGGCAGCACGTCCATCGGGCGTCCATCCACACTGGATGCAATCACCATCGCCCGAAAGACACGTGGCGATATACCCAGCTTCTCCCAGAAGTACTCCTCCATCGCATTGTCGCACTGCCTGAGATCCTCCCACCCCCTCCCGTCCTCCTTTTCATCCACCACCTCGGCGTCGCTCATGGAAGAACACTGCAACCCATGGCGCAGCAAACCTGAACTACAGCCTCGGTGATGGCCACGAAATCCAGCCCTTTGACTGAGAATTGACGAAGTGTCTTCCTCCTCCGCTCGCGGATCTGCGCTCTAATTCTACCCAATGCCCTCTCATGCTGACCACGAAAGAGCACAACCGCCACGACCGTCTTCTCGATAGTCACCAACTTCGCACGATCGTCGTCGTTGCCGCCCTCCATCAACACGTGTGTTGCAATGCTCGTGAACCACGAAAATACAACAGCCTACCAACTCGCCACGACGTTCCCCCCTTGTGCTCGACTCAACACATAGGGCCTCGTTCCACTACCCTCGACTTGAAAAATATCTCAAGGGCAGCCCTATAGGCGCCCTTGAGCGAAAACGTAATTAAAAAATACTAGAGTGCGTTTTCGTTCCACTGCACCCTGCAGTTCCCGCTCGCACGAGGAGCGGGAAAAAGTGCGGGCCGGTTCGTTACAATATTTTCACCAGGTCGTTACTGTTTCAGGTCCACGGGACATGGGAATTTCGCGAAAACGTGGGAGGCTACTTCCTGTGGTTCACCACCAGGCCCGTCGCTGGACC